TCCTACAGAAGGTCCATGAAGCCCCCGCCCCCGCCAAGGCTTGAGGTTCCACCATTAGAGAAGAGATGTGTTCTTGTGTATTTGTCTCTCGCATCTTTTAAGAAATTTTTCCCCATCAAAAATGTCAAACGGGGGTGCAGGTGCCTGGCGCAGCAGTGAAAACCTCACTCAGGATGCCCGGGTCCGAGTCCCGGCTCTGGTTTTGACTCCAGCTTCCTGCTAATGTGCACCCTGGGGGGCAGCAGGTGACGGCTCAAGGACTTGGGTCCCTGCTGCCCATGGGGGAGACCTGGTTTGGGCTCCTGGCCTCTGACCTTGGCCTAGCCCAGCCCCGGCTATTGAGAGCATTTGGGGAGTGAATGAGAGTATGGAAGGTTTCTCTCTCTGTCTCTTTGCCTTTCAAATAAAATTTTAAAGCAAGTGATTTTTAAACACCAAACATGCTTGTGATAGAAAACAAAGAAGGTGAAAATTGCTTTGTCCACAGCCCTGGCCTCCAAGGCACCCCCATTATCATCTGGGATCCTTCCCTGGCCCCTTGCTTCCTCTGCAGGGATTCGGAGGCCTCCTTCCCCCACCTACCCTCAGTCTGATGCTCCAAAAACACGATGCCCCCACTCCCAAGTGCCGGAAGTCCTGTGACCTTGAGGGGGTCACTCACCTACCTGGACTTGGGCGTCATCATTGAGCGATGGGGACGATGATGACAGATGCACCACTGAGCAGTGCTCCAAAGGCAGACAACGCAAGTGGGGTGTGGCAAGGGTGTTGCCAGGGCATTATGGGCAGAACAGAACCCGTCAGGATAAGGGGACCAGTGCCAGGGAGAGTGGGCAACCCCAGGAGGACGACAGGTGGCTGAGCAAACCTGCAGTGTCCCGCGCAGGCCTCCTCTGGCCCAGCCCTCGAGCAGCCACGTCTCGGGTCTGTGCGCATGCTCTGGTGCCTTCCCTCGCCCCTGCTGGACATCACTGCCCCACTTCCTGTTGGGTCCAGAGTCCATTTCCAGTGCAGCCAAGAGGGAGTTGGAGGGTGCAGGGCAGCCTGGAACCTGGCGGTGAGCTTGGCGGACTCTCTGAGTGCTGCCTTGGCTGGAGTCTGCACATGTGGGGCCCCCCGGGCCAGACAGAGCCGGATGCTTCCTGGGGACCCTTTGTTGAGACGCGGTGGCCTGGATGGGAGCAGCTGGGCAAGGTGGAGGGGAAGGCCTGGTGGCAGCCTAGAACTGGACTTGATGCAGCCATGACAAGGCTCACGACCTCCCAAGAGCGTGTGTGTGTGTGTGTGTGCGCGCGCGCACGTGCAGTCCTGGGCGGTGGCTGCCTTGGGCTGGCTCGTGGAGACAGGTAGCTGCATGTGGAAGTGTAAGAATGCCTCGTGTGCATACCTGTGTGGACGTGCGAATCCTGGAGCAGCTGGGGGTCTGCCTAGGAATGTAGACATCCATGGGGAGGGGTGGGGGTCTGCATTGCTGAATGCCTGGACTTGTGCCGTGGGGCGTGTGTGTGTGTGTGTGTGTGTGTGCAGGCGCGTGCTGCATGGAGCGTGTGTCTGAGCACAGCGGGGAGGGCTTCTGTGAGCATGCATCCTGTTCCTAGGACGCTTTTTTGCTTTTAAAGATTGATTGATTTGAAAGGCAGAATGATAGAGAGATAGGGAGGGAGTGAGAGAAAGGAGAGAGAGGCAGAGGGGAGATCTTCCATCCACTGGTTCACTCCCCAAATGGACACAACAACCAGGGCTAGGCCAGGGCCGAAGCCAGGAGCCAGGAGCTCCACCCGGGCTCCTCACATGGGTACCAGGGACCCAAGCACTTGGGCCATTCTCTGCTGCCTTCCCAGGGGCACTAGCAGGGGGCTGGAATGGAAGCTGGGACTCGAACCAGCAGTCCCATATGGGATGGCTGCATTGCAAGCAGTAGCTTAACCCACTGTGCCACAAGACCGGCCCCTTCTATGACACTTGCTATCACTATAGCCCCATCAAAAGGCCCCAGGTCAAGGTTACAAGCTGTTCCCTGCATGTGCTGGGCCCTGTGCCAGCTTCCATAGACAGAGAGAGAAGTAAAACTCGGGCCTGTGCGGGGAGAAGGAGCAGCAAACCCCATAGCACACAAGGCTGCGAGTCCCTTCCTCAGAGACCCTGCAAAACCACAGTATGGGGGTGACCTTCCCCTCGGGGCTCCGAGCCCCTCCAGGCTGGGCCCTGGGGGGAAGCACCTGCCGCACAGCGCAGGGCATATGCATTAAGGATGCCTAACGCAGCGGCCGTGTGAACCCAGCTACGCCCGCAGGCCCTGAGCCAGCCGCGGGCATCACCAGTCAGAGCCAGAGCTGCCATTCCCACTGTGGCCACGCTCAGCGCCCACCTCCCCTGCGACAGCTGGGTCTTCTGCACCAGCGGCTTCAGCTCTCCCACACTCCGTTTCCTCATGTGTGTGACTGGGAGAGTGATTGCCACGTGAGGCTTCAGTGAGACCACGGGAGGGCCTGGCACACGCGTGTGCACACCCACACAGCTCGGTGCACAGGAACTGCTAGTGGAACTGCAGAACTATTATGGACAGCCAGGAGCTGCCAGCTGGGCAGACCACGAGGGCAGAAGCGGAAGTGTGGAGTCTCTGGGGCGGGCTGTGGGTTACCCCAGCAGGCAGGGCCGACGTCAGGAGGGAGGAGGCCCAGGGTGGTCCACATCATTGGCTGGGGGTGGGGGCTCCAGAGCATCCATCTGTGCACTGAGCGCTTCTCCTTCTCTTTGCTGCTTCCTCCAACGTCTTCGTGACAGCCTTGCCCATCAGGTGTCAGCAGGCACATCTTCTGCAGTGTTGAAAGCAGGACACTGAGGGCGAATTGCCCACCCCCACCCCCAGGCATGTGCATGTTCGTGTGTGCCTGTGTGTGCTTACGAGCGTGGGGTCAGGGGCTGCAGCTGGGGTAGCCCAAGTGGCCCCAGTCCCTCCACACTTGCTCACACTTGGATGTCCAGGGGGTGTGGCTGGGGCCTGGTGGGTTTCTCCCCAGTCCACGGCTCTTCCTGTTCTCTGACTCAGGCTGGTCCTGCTCAGGTCCCTCCTCCTCTGAGCTCTTCTAATCCTGGTTAGGAGTCTTACCTGGAACCGGGTCCAACTGGTTTGTGGTGCTGACAGTGCACCTGTCTCCCTCCTAACTCCAGCGATCAAGAACCACTCAGGTAGTCTGAAATCAGCACAGAAACCAACCAATGATGTAGCAGGTTAAGCCACTGCCGAGATGCCAGCATCCCATATGGGCTCCTGTTAGAGACCTTGCTGCTCCACTTCAGGTCCAGCCTCCCTGTGATGCACCTGGGAAAGCATCCGACGACAGCCCAGATACTTGGGCCCCTGCACCCAGGAGGGAGACCTAGAAGAAGCTCCTGGCTCCTGGCTTCCACCTGGCTCAGCCCTGCCTTTGCAGCTATGAGGCTATCGGGGGAGTGAACTAGCAAATGGAAAATCACTTTCCATCTCTCCCCATCTCTGTAGTTCTGCCTTTCAAATAAATAAGTAGAATCTTAAAAAAAAAAAAAAAGCAACCAATAACACAAACCACCCATCTACCAACTCTTAAAGCAGCCACAGACACCAGCGCACCCCCTGCAGTGATAATAAACAACCAACAGTGTGTGCCTGCACCTGCCCAGCGTTGCCACCTCATCCGTTCAAACACCTGCGTGATGTTTGCTGTCATCCTCACTTCCTATCTGGGGTTCACAACTTACGTGGGCCGACTCCAGGTCTCTGCACAGCACGCGCGGCCGAGCAGCTTCCATAAGCAGAACCAGGAGATTCGATGGGACTGGCAGGACGCTTCCAGATGACGAATCTCCTGCTCCGCTCATTGCGGGAGGAGCTGAGCTGAATAAACGAGGCTCACTATTTTGGGGGCTTCCTCCGTTCCTGCTGCTAAGGTCACAACCGCCACCTTGACCTCTCCCAGGCCCCTCCTCAGCCTGGCGTCTGCTCCACGCCAAGGTCGCTCTCACCTGATGTTCCACACGCATGCCTGGTTCTGGGGGAAACCTTGCATGCAGGATTTGGCCCTCATTGCAAGTTACGTTTTGTCTTGCTTGATTTGACGCCGTGATCAAGATTCTCAGAAACACTCCGAATCTCGCTGGGGTCATCGGCTGCGGGTCTGGCTCCTACACTGGGGCCAGCCCTGCTGTGACGGCAACTGCGCCTTCCCTGCAGGACTCGGGGTGGGGGGCAGGAGGCTCCGCTTCTCCACGCCTCGGAAAGCAGGTGTCTCCCGCCGCTCCCGCCCGCCGGCGGCTCAGCCTGCCCCACTGCCCAGAGAGTCTGGGTTTGTGCGCATCTGCAGCATTTCCTCAAACGCCCCTTGAGGCCCCGCCGTGCACCGCGCCGCGACAGCCCACCCTCCCTTTAAACACAGGGCACCCTTTTCCGCCTCTCCTCTGCCCCAGGGTCCCCTTGGACTCCCTTTACCCAGCAAGAGCCCTCCCCCAGCGATTGCACACGCGTTTCTCCTGCTCCCTGAGGGAGGCGGTGCTGCCGACCCGGTCCTGCGCGCCGGGAGACCCATGGCTGCGGGACAGAGATCCGCACCCGCCGAGCAGGAAGGCCGGCGACCGCACGGTTTCTCCGCAGGCTCCAGGAGCGTCCCTCTCAAGACCCCACCCACTACCTCCGAGGACAGATTGCGCGTCCCTCCGCCCGCCCGAGTTAGGGACCCCATGCCGGCCTCTCCAGGCCGAAGTGGGGGGGGGGGGCGGGGGCGGGCGCGGCGCCAGGTGAGCTCTCACCTGGAGCGCGTGGGAGGGGGAGATGGGGCGGAGCGGGGGCGGGCGCGGGGCGGCCCCTCCCGCGACAGGGCGGGGCGAGGACAGCGGGGCCAATGGGGCCGGGGGCTCGGCGCCCGGGGCTCGGCGGGTGCCGCCCGCGCCGCACCCTCCCAGAGCAGCCCCCGCCCCGCACCCCCGGCGTGTTTAAAGCCCCGCGGGCGGCTGGTGGCGGCGCTGCGAGCGCCGAGCGGCGCGAGGAGATGCTAGAGGGCGCCGCGCCGCCGGCACCATGCGCCCCCCGGCCGCGCGGGCCCTGGCCGCGCTCTGCCTGCTGGCGCTGCCCGCCGCTGCCGCCACCGCCGCCTACTTCGGGTCAGTGCCCGCCGCACCCCCGGCCCGGCCCCTGCCCGTCTCCCGCGCTCCCTGGCCCCCGCGGGGTCTCGAACTCCGACCCGCCGCCCTGCGGGACCTAGCCCCCTTCGTGGTCCGAGGTCGCGCCGCGAGCTTGGTCTGGGGCGTCCGGGGCTCAGAGCCGATCGCACCTTCTAGCGTCCGAGGGTCACCGCGCCGGGGGTCAGCCCTGCCCGAGCTCCCGAACTCTGCGCGCGCCTTGGTCCCCATTCTGCCCGTCCAGGCATCGGCCGCGCGCTCGGACGCCCTCCGATCTTCCCTCGGGTGCCCTATCTGCCCCATCCCGGGCTCCGTCGGCTGCGGTCCTTGGCTCAAACCCCTTCCCCACCCTCCGCCGACGCACGGCGGAGCGCAGGCCCACGGGACTGGGTGGATGGGTATTGCCGGTGGGTCTTCTCCGAAGCGCTGGCATCCGAGGGCAGACCGTGGGGATGTGCGCGGGAGACGCCGGCGGACCCCGCGCGCTGCGCAGCCGGAGCGAGAAGGACCAGGCGAGGGAGAGGGGCGCGGGGGCAGGTCTGCGGCTGAGTGGGCGATCTCGGCTGGAGTGACCCCAGGAAGGGAGTGGGGCGGGAGCCAGGAGGGGGAACGGCGGCGAGGGCTACAGGGCAGCTGTTTCCGTCCCTCCTTGTCTGACCCTGGATTGCAGGGGCTGGGCGTGGGGGTGGTCGTGGTGGCAGCCAGCACGGCTAAGGCGCCTTCCTGCCCTCCGCCCAAAGCCGGCTGCATGGACGGACAGGCTGTTACGTTAGCCCTTGCCTGTTTCGGATCTTCACCCCAAGTCAGTTTACAGCCTAACTACAACCACAGGCGAGAGCGCTCTGGGTGCTGCTCTTGGAGGGGTGTGTCAGACGCCGCGGGATCCCAGGCTGTGGACTAATTTCCAGGTCATGACCCCTGGTTCAAAGGTGCCTTGGCTGTGGGCAATGGTCTGCCCTGAAAGTGTGGGGGCAGGGAGGAATCAGCCCAGACCCCAGCTCTGGGCTCAGCTTGTGGGTGACCTGGGAAGACTACTCGGTGTATGGGCCTCAGTTTCCCCTGTTGTACCAAGAGGCCATGTTTGGTATGACTGAGCCTAGTGGCCCTCCCCCAAAGCCCTGCCCCATACTAGCGTGGGTCTTGGCGGAGTCGTTTAACCCCTCTGGCGCTCCCTCTCTCCTCTGTTAAACGTCGGTATCAGGGCCTGTTTCATCCGAGGACCAAGTTGGGTCACGCCTAGGGCTGAGTAAGTGCTCAACTAACGCTTGTGACAATGGGTGTGGCTCAGCTCCTTGGGTTTCTGAGCTGGAACGGGGGGGGGGGGGGGAGAAATGGCACCTACATCCTCTTGGACACTGGCTCATTTGCACAACTCCTGTTCCTTTGGGTTTGCAGTGGGAGATGAGACTGAGGTGGGGGGGCTGGGATTCCAGGAGATCTGGGGCACCCTGGCTGGCATGTTGGAAGGGACAGATCTCAGCAGTGCACGGGGTTCGACTCAGCGGCTGAGTGAGGGATAGCCTTGGAAACGGCAGGGGAGATGGCCAAGTGGGCCTGGGTGAGGGCCAGGAGGCCTGAGTACTGGAGCCCTCTCTCCCAGATGGGAGCCCAGCTGGGCAGAGCCGACACGGCCTGCTCAAGTGGCCATCACCCTGGTTTGGGGGGCATGACCCACACTTGGCCCAAAATATAGAATTCGGGCCTCACGCAGTGAAGTGTGTGGTCTCAGAGAACAGAGGGGTTCAGCGGGAGTGGTCACTGAGGAAAGCCTCTGGGGACTCGGGGGAGCAGGCTTCCCCGTGTCCACCAGAGTCCACTGTCTGGAATTCATGCACACTTCAGTTAGAAGTGGAGCCGTGTGCTTCTCTCTTCCCCAGGTCATTTCCACCCGAAGTCTCTTTTCTGATTGTAACACGACTTTGCTTGCAACAGGAGGGCAGGTGACGCAGCCCATCCTCTAGGAGCCTGGAAATGGCAGGATCATGGGCCTCTGAGCCGGAAGTGACCCCCAGGAGCCCTGGCCCAACCCGCTGCTTCTTGCGGGTCCTGTGTTAGTCCCTCATTTTGCAGATGAGTCACCCCCGCCCGCGGCACAGAGAGCAGCAGGTGTTTCTGCCGCACTGGCACGAGCCTTAGCCTGGCTCTGCTGATGGCGACCGTGGGTAATCATTCATATCAAGTTCACAGTTCGCCTGCTCTCATCTGCTCTCATCTGCTCCTCAGATGAGCCGTGGAGGGCGGGCGCACGCCGTGCCCACAAGGAGACCGAGGGTCAGAATGGCTCCGTGAGTCACCCGTGACACACAGTGAATTAGTGGGGGAGGCAGGAGAGATTCCAGGTCCTGCCTCCTGTCTGGGTCCTCCCCTACAGCCAATAGCCTGTGTGACCTGGGGGTGGGGGACAGCTGCTGCAGCATGGCTCCAGGGTGGGTCACTCTTTCAGGCCACTTGGCATGGCTGGGCACGTGCAGCCGTGACGTCTCCCCTGCCCTCAGCAGTGAGACAGGATGCACTGTCCTGCTGGCCTGGTAGGTGGGCTTCAGAGGGCAGCATGGTGACCCTGGGACACAGGGTGGGACAGAGGTCAGGGCCAAGTTTGTCACAGCTCTGGAACTTTCTCTGTGGTCCTGAGCCAACTCACTTGTCTCCAGGGTTATGTTCCTAAGGTTCCCTAACCCTCCCTGGCCAGGCCCTGACAGAGTCTGATTTCTCGCCAGCCCCTGGTTTGGGATTTGGGCCGGGGGCTCTGCAGAGGTTAACGTCTGGGGTGCTTCCTGAAGGACGAGTCGGGCACGAGCCAGGCCTCATCACCCACTCTAGTCCTGATGCCAGCCCGGCAGCTCCGTATCTGGAAATGGCTCTTGCGACTGCAATTTTTAAAAATCGTGACTGGCTTTTGGCAGTGTTTCTGACGTGTGACTCCGCCCTGGTTGTTTCTTCTCTAGGGATAGTGCACCAATGTTTCTGAAAGCACAGACTTTGGAGTTCTGGGTTTGAATCCCGGCTCTGCTGGCTGCTGGCTATGTGGCTTTGGGCAAATGTCTTAACCTCGCTGAGCTGCGGGTGATGCCGGCCCCAGCCCCAAGATGTGAGGCTTCATTGAGACAGCAGATGAAGGGCCTGACACGGTGCCTGGCACAGACTCAGTGGTCAGTACACGTTTGCTCCAGATGGTTTGTGGGCTCCTAACCAGCTGCCCGGGCTGCAGACATATCATCACTGTAGCTTCATTTTTAAATTTGTTTTCCAAATCATGGTTACATACCAGAACACGCATGAGCGCACAGCAGGTTTTTGCAAATGTATACACCTGTGTGACACATTTGCGTGCACCCTCCAGGAGGACCTCTTGTGTCTCTCTGCAGTCACCCCTGCAGCCCCCGCACCGGCAGCAGCCCACCTCCTCCCTCTGCCTTCTCCGTTAGTCTGGCCTGTCTTAGAAGTTCACATAAACACCTCTTACAGGACACGGCCTTTTGTGCCTGGACCCTTGTGCTCAAGTAACATTCCTGCGATTCATCCATATTGTGATGGATCCCCATAGCTCATTCTCTTCCTTTCAAAGTCGTAGTCCAGTGTGTAGGATTGCCGATCCACTCACAAACAAATACACACCTGGGGTGTTTCCAGTGTTAGGCTCTTCCAAATAAAGCTAATGGAAGCACTCATGTGCCTCTCTCTCTGCTGGTTTTTTTTTTTTTTTTTTTTAATATTTATTTATTTACTTGAAAGGCAGAGTTAGAGAGAGGAGAGACAGAGAGAGGTCTTCCATCTGCTGGTTCACTCCCCAAATGGCCACAATGGCTAGGGCTGGATCAACCCAAAGCCAGGAGCCTGGATCGCCATCTGGGTCTCCCCATGGGTGCAGGGACTCAAGCACTTGGGCCGTTTTCTGCTGCTTCCCCAGGCACATTGGCAGGGAGCTGGATCAGAAGTGGGGCACGCAGGACTCCAACCTATTCTCATATGGGATGCCGGCATCGCAGGCAGCAGCTCAGCCTGCCGTGCCCATCGCCGGCCCCTGTGTACATCTCTCTTTGTGGGCTTATGTCTTCATTCCTCTTGGATAACTGCCAAGGGCTGGGCTGTTGGATCGTGTGGTAGCTAGACGTTTCACTTACAAGAACGGTCACTTTTCCAATGTAATTGTACCATTTTGCACAGCAATGTATGAGAGTTCCAGTCGCTTCACATTCCTGTCCACCATTGTCAGTCTTAATCTGAGGCCATTTTCATGAGTACATATTGTTATCTCATTGTGGTTTTCATCTTAATTTCCCCATTAACAGACGGCGTGTTGAACATTTTTTTCTTGTACATATCAGTCATTTGAATGTCTTTTGCATTGGGTTATTTGTCTTGTTATAGAACTCTAAGGTTTTTACTGTAGTTTGGATACAAGTCTTTATCAGAAGTACTGGCAGTGTTTCATCCCTGTCTCTGTCTTGCCTTCTTTTCTTATTGGTGACTTGGTCAGCAGACATTTCTAATTCTGATGAAGTCCAACGCATCAACTTCTTCTTGTATGTTCTGTGCTTTTTTGGTGTTTTATCCAGGAAATTGGTACCTATCCCAAAGTCAGGAAGATTTCCTCCTTGATTTTCTTCTAGAAGCGTCATAGTTTTAGCTTTCATACGTAGGTCCCGGGTTCACTGTGAGCTAATTAGTGTGCATGGTGTGGATAGGCACCTGTCCCAGTGCCGTTTGTTGAAAAGATGATCCTTTATCCACTGTCGTCATTGTTCCGAATCAGCGCACCCGCTGCGTGTGAAGCTTCTCCTGAACTCTCTATCCTGTCCCATTAATCCACACGTCTGACCTCATACCGACACCACTCAGCCTTAGTTACTGTAGCTTTACCGTAAGTCTTGGAAATAAGCGCTGTACATTTTCTAACTTTGTATTTCTTTTTCAAAATAATTTTGGTTGTTCAGGTCCTTTGTATTTTAGTATCAACTTGTCGGTATGCACACAAAAGCCTG